GGACGTGCAGGGCGGCAGCCCCCCTAATCCCCAGCCACTGGGGACTCTCCCCTGGAGGCATCCCGCTCCCGGAGCATCCCCCAGTCGCGACCTCGGATGCGATGCTCCGCCGGGCTCGCTGGCGCGCAACAACTCCCTTCCGAGGAAAAGCGCGGGGCTGCCCAAGCGGCTGCCCCCGACAGGAGACCAACTCGGGTCTCTTACTTCTAGGTAACACATTCCCTAAACCACCCGCACCCCCAGCAAGGACACACACACACACAGATACACAAACACATGCCCAGAAGTTACTCCGGCAAAGGCAGGCACTGCGCGACTTCGGTTGCTTCGCAGATGATTCAGGTGAATCGGGGAGCCCACGTCCCCAGTTTAGAGGAACAGCTCATATGCCTCATATGCTTCGGGGTGAGACACGAATTTCGGGTGGGACCGAGCTTGGGAACACAGGCGGCCAGTCCCTAGTGAGAAGCGGCAAAGTTTCTTAGGGCGGCGATAGTTTAAGAGGGGCATTTCGCAGGCTGGCAATACGAGCCGAGCCGCCGGAGGAGGGGATGAGAAAGCCAAGCAAAAGAGAGCAAAGCCGAGGAGAAGCCCGTTTGGGGGGAGGGGGAGAAGCATCCAGGGAAAGAGCAACAACTGAGCGCCTTACCGCCTCCTTTCAGTGTCTGTTGCCTCCCGCAAAATGGAAGTCCAGGGAAGCCAGTCGATTATCGCGCTCATCGATCCAGAGTTGGGGAAGAGACGGTCGCTTTTGTGCGCCGGATTGGGGGCAGGCGGAACGAATGGAGCCACTATGCGTTGGCAGAGCGAGAAAGAATGACGAATCCTAGGAAGGCAAAGTTAATCGCGCTCGGCTTTATCGATAGAGACGGCAGCCTGGAGAGGATCGGGACAATCAAATCGAGCACCGGTGAATGGATTGTCCCGCGTTTCTTTCTTCTCCCTCCAAGAGCGAATTGGCGTGGAAGTCTGTAGGACTTATTGTCACGTTCGGAGTGTAGAATTGCGGGATTTGTGGACAAAGGCACTCTTTAAGAAGGAAAGATGAGAGATAATATTGAAACCAGGTTTCTATATTCACAGTGAAGTTACACCCAATGTGGAGTGGTGGTTAAGTAACGAGACTAGGACTTGGGAGAGCAGGGTCTAATCCTCCCTTAGGCACAGAAACTGGCTGGGTGACTTTGAGCCAGTCACCCTCTCTCAGCCTAGACTGGGAAGTAAAAAAACATAGATCTGGGAAGTAAAAAAAAGCATGTATCTCTCAGCTGGAGCAGTGTGGTAGATTATGATCCATAACCTTCAATGGTGAGGGCTTCGTCCTGGAGTGGAGTGATTTTTAATAACAATAACAATACTTGAACACCATCCATATTGACAAAATCACTATCAGTCAATTGCAAAAGGCAGCTTACTTGGAACAGCTTACAACCTGCAATGATACCTTTAATATTAAACAACAACATCTGCCTATCCCAGGTCCTTGGGAAGGACTTAATAGGTAGACAAAAATGCCAGATCTAGTCTAAACATCTGGCTGACTGTGTGGCCAACCATAATAATAATATCATCCCCATTAATCTTATTGGAGTTTGCAAACTCCTAAATTTCCATAAGCTGGCCCTAGTACCTTCCCAAATAGCCAAAGTTAGATAACTTTAAAAATGACTAGTAACTGTAATATTTTAATACTTTTATGAAAAAAATAAATATTTCTGTTATTTTGTTTCTGTGACACTCCTGTCTGTCCAGCAGTGAAATCAGTCCATTTATATATTTTTAATAATAATCACTCTTTCAAGAGGACTGATAATTGTTTGGGATGTTAGATGCTCTTGGAAGTTAAATGTTCTTTATATAATCAGAAACAAGGTCTTAAAAGCTACATGTTAATCAGCAGTTGGTGCCCAACATCTGTCTTAGTCTGATTACATGGTCTTTTAGTTATGCCTTTTACTTTATTTTATAACACAGTCTTTTATTGTTCTGTATTTTATATTTTGTATTCTGACATGGCCTAGTGGATAATCAATAAATTGTTATCATCATCATCATCATCATCATCATCATCATCATCATCATCTCAATCTGTGATCTTAAATTTAAGATTTAATAATTGGTTCTTAAATACAGAACCAATTTCAGTTGAACACAGAAGGATCTGCCATTAAGGAAACAAATGAATATACAATATCTTAAGCCAGAACCAAATAGATCACATTGTAACTTGAATGTTGTATGAACCCAATCACTCTGATTTGTAAATAATAATTTATGGCTTACTGTGTTGCATATAATTAGCCACTGTGGTTAATTTAATACACCACAGTTCAGTGAAATAGAGGTTAGTCTGTTTTGTGAACCCAGCATTCTGTGAATTTACCTGTGATTCAAGGTTGAAGAGGAAATGTGGTAACTACACTATGAGTTCATTTTGCTAGAGTCTCTTGTTCCAAAGAGAAGGAATGAATTGTCTCTCTGGCTTATTAAAATCTTACACAGAAATCCATATCTGTAACTGGGCAAAAGAGGATAATGAAGCATAGGAAAATGTGGACAGGTGATTGGCTGCAGCAAAACGGGATTCAATCATGATTGTGGAAGAGCAAACTCATTTCCCCTGGCCTAGTTCCAGTTAATCCAGTGGAATGGATTGGTCTTGGATGGTAAATTAATAAATAATAATGGTAATCCAGTGGACAGGATTACAAGCATATGTTTGGAACCTTACAAAGGAAGAATATTTTTTATTTATTTACAGCCTCAAAGTATTTGTAAGACAAAAATATTAAACTGCTAAATGCATATAAAACCCTCAACCCATTCCAGCATCTATACAGTAATCCCCACCTCTCTTCCCCACAAAGTAGTTAAGATCCATACTGGAGAGGAGCAGATCAAAGAGGTCAGTTCTGCTTGAATGAGATGATCCTGCATATCAGGCCAAGCCACAAAGGGTTTTCTAGAATAAAACAGTACTCTGAATTGCACTCAGAAATCTCATAAGAGCCTGTAGAACAATGGTAGAGTGGCCTTCACCCACCAGTGGCAGGCAGCTGCCTTTTGCACCAGTTATAGTTTCTGGGTACCTTTTCATGTAGAACACATTATAAAAGTCTATTCCCTGGGTAATGACATTGAGAGTTATGATTGGCAGGGCTCTGATTCCAGGACAGTTTGCAACTGGAACACCAGCTGAAACTAGACAGACTCCCCTAGCCTCCCCATCCAGCAGTAGATAAGTAGGTCTATCGAAACCCCAGGTCACAGACCTGCTCCTTCAGGGGAGTACCGGCACTTCAAGAGGGAAAACTTTTAAGGCAGCCATCATCACGTCCCCCTCCCTATTCTAGTTGCCCACACCTCTCCCAGTTGCCCCAGTGAGTCAGATGGGACAGGGATCCAATCTACAAGGAGGGAAGCTCATGATACCCAGAACCCTGTCTACCTCATTGGAATCAACAAGCTGAAATGAATCCCAAGTAACGTCCCGAAACATTTCCCACTCACCTCTTCAGATGCTGCCCATGTGGAGTTTAGACCTGAGCACAAACGCCTCACAGCAGCTGATGGGAAGATCTGGCCCATCTTTCCCCAGAAGGGAACAATCACCCTAAACAGAGCCAGTGGAGCACATTCTGCCAAAGCAACAAAGGTAGAGAAGTACTGATGCTTTGCTGTCCTTATCACTGTATGCAGCCTCAACAATGAGAAGTCTCATCAAAGACTTCTCAGTCAGCTTAACACCCGTGGAATAAAAGGGCAACTGTGTTATGGATAAGCAACTGCCTAAAGAATAGACAAAGAGAAGGAGTAAATGAATTTCTCACAATGGAGAGATATGGCTAGTGGTGTCCCCCAGGGTTCTGTCCTAGGACTGGTGGTTTTTAACATATTTATAAATGATTTGGAATTGGGTGTAAATAGTGGAATGCCCAGGTTTGCTGCTGACACTAAATTGTTCAGAATGGTAAAAACAGCAAGAGACTGTGAAGAGCTCAAAGAGATCTCTGCACATCAGGGGAGTGGGTGTCAAAATGGCAGATGTCATTCAACATGAGCAAGTGTAAAGTGACGCACATTGGTGCCAAAAATCCTAACTACTCATCCAAACTAATGGAATCAGAGCTAGGAGTGACTGATGAAGAAAGAGATTTTGGAGTAATGGTAAACAGTTATGCATGGTATGGATAAAGTGGCCAAGGAGAAACTATTTTCCCCTTCACAAACTACCAGAATCGAAGGTCACCCAAACAAACTGAATCCTGGAAGAGTCAAGACAGACAAAAGGATTTTTTTTTACACAACATATAATCAAACTTTGGAATTTGCTACCATGAGATGGGGTGCTGGCTACCAGCTTGGCTGGCTTCAAAAAAGGGCTAGACTAATTCATAGAAGTCATGGGGACCAATGGCTATTAGTCTTGATGGCAGTGTGACTGCCTCTGGAGGCCATCTAGTGGGCTTCCTTGTGCAGCTGGTTGGCCACTAAGAGAACAGACTTCTGGACTGGTTGGGCCAGGGATCAGATCCAGCAGAGCATTGCTTATGTTCTTATGAGCAATTACCCATATCAAATCAGGTACGCTTCTGATCTTTCTCCCCTGGCATTTCACATGTCTCCCTTTGTCTCTTCATTTCATGCAGGTTGTACCAGGTAGACTGAAGATGGAAAGGAAAATTCTACTCCAGACTCAGGAGCAACCAGAAGCGGCTTTTTCTTAAACACAATAGCTATTTATTAGCAAAGCACCTAGGAGGTTTGTGTAATGTGTGCATGGAGCCAAAAAGCCATCTAGACTAAACAGGCAGTTGAAAGGTAAAAGGTTTCTGCATGTTATATATCATTGAACTGAAACGCTACTTAGCATGTACCTTTCGTTCAGTTCTAAAACTGTTTTTCCAGAAGCCCCTTAAATCCAAGTGAACTACGTCTGTTCGGGCATCCTTTGACTACAATATTGAAACATGACACTATACTGCTGTAACTTTCATTTGCACCAGATGGCAGCAATGGTTTGCTTATATTCTAAACTCTCACTACAACATAGCTAAATACATAAGGAAAGAAACATCATTGGAAAAAAGCTAAGGACAAGGGGAAAAAGCATTGGATTGTTCAATGGATCATTTTCTGTTGCTGAGATGCATTGCAATTGCTGCTACCTTTATTAGTGTTTTGCCTCCGTGGACCTCTGTTTTCAACAGTGCAAGGAATAAAAAAGTACCAAATTCTCATCCAGGGAAAATGTTGCTTCAGCTTTAATTAGATGTAATTGGAGATGTGGAGCTGTTGTCATTCCACATTTCTTTCTCTCTGCTCTCTCTCAGGTTTGGTTAACCCTTGTGACATCATGTCAACCTGCTGGGCTTGATTGAGCACATTCTTTGCTGTATTAGGGAACTGAGGTAGGAACATGCCCAGCACGATGACTCCATGTAGTGGGATGAATTCATCTAGGTGTTATAGGAAATAAGCAGCAAACTGAGGCTGAGAACAGGCTGAATGCCTTTGAAAGGTGGCTTTTAAGGAGAATCTCCAGAAGCCCTTGGAGTCACAACAGATAAAATCTTGACAGCCCATAAAGAACATCAAGCAAAGAAAATTGAGATATTGGGATCATATGTTCAGATACAACTCCTTACAAAGGACCTTGCTAGAAAGAATAGTGGAAGGAAAGAAAAGCAGAAGATGCCACTTGGAGTACAGTAGAATCAACTGGACTGGTCTAAATAATGAAGAATGTGC